TGCTGGTTGGAGTGATCACTCTCCCTTGTCTCCTCCCCACTGATCCAAGGCTCAGGCGCCACCTGGTGGCCAACCAGTCTCCCTGCTCAGAGTTGGAACCCTTTCCAGGGTCCTCCACATCCTCCAGGGCCGACTCATAGGGCCCCTCGCTGTCGGAGTCTGGTGGCAGCTCCAACGGCTCCTGCTGGGCCACAACACACTTTGTAATTTTTTTTTATTCTATCATCACAGTTTTGCAAGAGCTCTTTTAAATAAGAGCAGCTGTGCATCTTTTCATGACAATGAAATATTCTGTGGATTGCAGTTTTCCCTGCAGCAAATGATTTTTTTCTATATCGACCATACGGACATACCTGTGAGCCATTGTGGAACTTGAGATCTGAGATATAGGTATAAAGAGGATTTTACCAACATTTAATCCCCCACCCATTTTTTTTATTTTGTTCTATTTTATCTTTTTGTGCCTAAAATGTTTTAAGAAAAAAAAAATCTTCACATATAATTTATGTCAGAAGTGAAATGACCACCGTGTTATTAAAAACCTTCACTCATACTAACCATACATTTCAGAAGTGCCTTGGAGATACTGTTTTCCATTATATCTTCCTTGGGGCAATTCAATATATTTGCCTAATTCCAGAATTCCTAAATGATGGTCGATGTTCATGACTTTTCTGAAGATATGGGAATCCTAGAAGTTCATCAGATGGCTATTATCTGCTTTACCTTAGGATCTGAAAACTAAATGTATCGTTTTCTGTGAATCCACTCTTCGAAATTAATGAAACCTCTGCCTTCTAAAAGATTTACACGATAAATATGTTGGCCTTTAAGATGAGCGCACAGTTAACATGGCTACTCTCCTGAACTTGTTTCTGCTCTTAGAAGCAGGCATTAATTTTGTAGCCCTGACTTAATAACTCATCTGTAGCAAGGAAATTCATGTTATTTTCTTGAAAGGTCAAGAAATGCCCTTTGTAGCTAAAAGCCATTGTGACTGCCAGTTCTGAGTGCAGTCTCATAGAAGTGAAGAAAGCCAGTTTGTGGAAAAAATTATTTAGGATTTAAATAAGAACATAACATATTTTTTCTACTTATCTTATTTTCCCCTTTCCCTCCTTTCTATAGTTATTTTTATAACTAGCGCACTAAATTTGTCTTATTTGTCTAAGGCTGAGGGTTTTTTCAAAAAACCATCCAACCTTGCGGTGAAAAAATAAGATTATGAAGAATCCGTTTTCCTCTTTCGCACTTTATCATTGCATTAAAAAAATAATACCTACAATTCTGCCTAAAATACTGCCTACCGTATAATTATCATTCTAAATTAAACTGATCATTATAACTGTAAGAGTTTTTACCTTCTGCCCTTCCACTGCTAGACTGTGGTGACCAGAAGAAATTATCTCTGGCTGATACAACTAAATTTTCAGAGACAAAAAAAAAACAAACCTGGGATATCAAAAGAAAACACTGTAGTCTAATCCAGTGTTTCTCAACCTTGGCAACTTGAAGATGTCCGGACTTCAAGTTGCCAAGGTTGAGAAACACTGGACTAATCATCTCCTGACATGCTATTAATATAGCTTCGGAGCACTTATTTATCCTAGGTGAAATTGAATTCACAGGTTTGTTTTTTTTTT